TTGTTCTTTCCTTCTTAGCTCTGGATCCTGTGCTTGCATGTAAGTCCTTAGTAAAGTCTAAATATAATTGGACCCATGTTGCTGCTGAAAGGAAGTCTATGAGGTGTAAGATGTTCTGTAAAGGTACATTCAAATACACGACTTGTCATTTTACAGTCTTGTTTTGCTACAAATGTCATTTCCTAATTCATAAATCTAATGATACATAATCCACTAATAGTTTAGCATTTGTTTTAGCGGTTTTTCCCTTGCAATGCAACACAATTTAGAAAAAAAAACGTACAGAATTCTGTCCAAGTTTGTTTTAATTTGGGAACAAACAAATCAAAAATATTTACACTGGAACAGACACACAGAAGATTTACATACATGATGAATTTAGTCTTTGGCCTTAATTTGCCAAAACACATCAAGCTGTGGTTTCTGAGCCTCTGGAGGCAGAATCCCTCTTGAATGTTGCAATAAAACTATTCCAGGGAAAAAGAGACAGAGCAGCAATAGTTTTAAGGCGGCTGATATGTAAAAATAAATGTGTATGTATATACTGGGCAGGAACATGATCATTCATGTTTAATGAATACATTTACTCAGAATACCTTTCTGTGCGCCCTATACGATGAAATAATGCCACTTCAAAAAGTTTGCTTTCGTGATTAACCACTGTATCAAAAAGAAGAGACATGTTTCAGCTGATGACTTGACATTTGGACAAAGCTAGTCGGTGTAACGTGGTTGATATTTCTGCATATGTTTTAATGTTTTCGAAACATTCTATTGCTCTATCTGCAAAGTTTTCCAACGCACCCATCATTTAGTTCATCTCCACCGCTACTCCACTGTTTACCTGCGGGGCGCGCACACTTCCGGGGGACTCTTGAGTTTCTATAGGGCTGGAACAAGCCCCGGCGATCCAAGATGGCGCCCTATTCAAATGAATGGTTGTGCTCAGTGGCGCTTCGTGACGGCATGGGGGCTGAAAGATTAGCGGAAGTTGCCTGAAACTCGCAAAGATCTATGGGAAACTCGCCTGTATTTGGGCATCGTCTGGTCCTCCCGGTTCTGCGCAGTGGATGATCTCCCATAATGCGTTGCGCCAAACACGCGTGTGTCTCACACCGGGTCTCACACCGGGTCTCACGCACGTGCACAGAGGGGCTCGGCCGCGCTCTGACCAATCAGAGCAGTTCATCAGAGCGGGAGTTAGAGCGAGAGCCAGACGAGCAGAGTTTGTGGCACTAAAGTGTGGATTTAAACAAAACCGAAGGATTTAAGAAGAAAAAAAGTTCAGGATGACAAGGGATACTAAAATCCCCACAAAATCCGATCTTTATGAAAGCTGTAGGTTCTCTGTCAGCTGAGGTTGAGCTGTTTTAATATGCATTGAGTTCTATGGGGAAAATTTCTGGGTAGCCCACGTGAATTTAGTCTGGTTCAGTCTGCAGTACCGCGAGAATCCCCTGAGCACATGGGTTATTCAGCTACAAGCTAGTAATACCCTATCCAGTTATTATAATACATCCATGGGCTGGAAAGTCTCGTCCCAGAAGCACTTCCGGTTCATTGCTCGGATACAAACAAACCGTCAGCTGTTCGAAGAGGCGGTTTAAGTGAATGGTGCATAATGCTCTGCTTTGTTTTCGGCTGTAATCATCACAGTTTACGCGACACATGCTCATTCTTTAGGTTTCCCAAAGACCAACTGAAGCTGTGGGAAAAGCTATGCAGTTCTGATAAAATATTTTGTCTGATTTCAGAGACAGTTAACTTGAACATGTATTCAAGCTAACTTGTAGCTAATGCTAACCTGTAATAGTGCGCGGCCAAGCCTTTAATTGTGGCTTGTATTTTAAGATAAGCAACTTTATTGATGTCACACAGGATAAATATTGTCTCTCAAATATTTATCTATTTGAGAGATAAAGGAGGAACATATTAACACGTATTAAATAACATTTAACAAATGTTCAAATATAACAGAAAACGGACAATCATTCGTATTAAATGAATAGGTAGCCCAACTACATCATGTTATTTTTGACAGCACAGCAAAAAGGAAAAAGGCCCAATGTGAAGCTGCAGTGAGTGTGAAGTGGAGAATGAGCTGATGAACAGATAGAAAACTGATCATTCATATACATTGGCTTATAACCAAAGCAGCATCCGAGCAATGAACCGGAGGTGCTTCTGGGACGAGACTTTCCAGCCCTATAGGGCTATAATCATCAAAGTTTACATGAAGCATGCTCATTTTTTAGGTTTCCCAAAGACCAACTGAAGCTGTGGGAAAAGCTATGCAGTTGTGATAAAACATTTTGTCTGATTTTACAGATGGTTAACCTGAATATGTATTCAAGCTAAGTTGTAGTTAATGCTAACCTGTAGTGCGCTGCCGAGCCTTTCATTGTGGCTTGTATTTTAAGATTAGATTAACTTTAACAGGATACGTATTTATTTGTATTTATTTGAGAGATAAAGGAGGAACATATTAGCACATATTAAATAACATTTAACAAATGTTCAAATATAACAGAAAACGGACAATCATAATATTAGTAGTAAATGAATAGGTAACCCAACTACATCATGTTATTTTTGACAGCACAGCAAAAAGAAAAAAGGCCCAATGTGAAGCTGCAATGAATGTGAAGTGGAGATGGAGCTAATGTACAGATAGACAACTGATCATTCATAAATATTGGCTCATAACCAACGCAGCAAAGACAGCTGTAAGGGACATCAATTTATTTGCATGGGAACAGTGTTTTTATATTGTCTTTCTGATGCTTAATAGTGGATTAAAAAACAATAAGTTTGAACACGGCCCTGCACCTTTCTCATCTCCCCGTCATATAAACTTCAGGACATGGTCAGTTCACAGCTAATTCCGACCACTCACTCAGTTTTTCTGTCCCAGAGACGAAATGTGTCCAAAATAACACAGGAAAGTCCTTTAAGGAGGAAGAAGTTGGCGATCTCAGCACCATACAAGGGTCGGCACTAGATCATATACGGAATCGGGACAAAACCGGAAGTTACAATCCTACTTTCGAATTAGTTTTAGACTAATAAGTCCTTAAATGGTGACTGGTTAAGTTTTAGGCGTCTGAGTAAGATGGTTAAGGTTAGGGTAAAGGCTGGGTTGGGGTTATTTTATGGGAATGGCTGGTTAAGTTTAGGCATAAATAGGTAGTTTGTTATATTTACTTCCGCTTCCGTCCCGATTCCGTATATGATCTAGTGCTGACTGTCACTCCCGTATTCGTCCCGGAAACCGGATTCGTCCGGAAGTTCAGTTTGCGCATGTCAAAAAGTTTAATATGTCCTTAAGTGGTGACTGGTTAAGTTTAGGCGTCTGACTAAGATGGTTAAAGGAATAGTTCACCGTTTTTACATACTGACATATGTTCTTACCTTACCTTAGACTAGTTAATACGTACCTGTGTGATCTTAGTCCGTGCGCTCTGTCATGCAAACGGAGCAAAAAACGGGAGGACAAATGCAGCCTCCTCTGTATACTGTGTAGCACCAAAAGGTAGCTCCCGCTAGAAGCTACCAAACTCTTCCAAGTGTTCCCTATTAAATGTATATAGTTACGTGACGTGTTACACTGCAAAGTATAGTAACACAGAAATGTAACTGTCGATTTTCTCAGCGGATAAAACGGGTACTATATTGTGAGGCGTAGTAATCTGAGGTGCGCTACGTCCGCGCACTAACTTCTGTCCGGAGACTTCTCTCTCGCTCACTTCAGTCAATAGAAGCAGCGTGACTTGTAGTACAGAGAGAAGTTAGTGCGCGGACGTAGCGCTCCTCAGATTACTACGCCTCACAATATAGTACCCGTTTTATCCGCTGAGAAAATCGACAGTTACATTTCTGTGTTACTATACTTTGCAGTGTAACACGTCACGTAACTATATACATTTAATAGGGAACACTTGGAAGAGTTTGGTAGCTTCTAGCGGGAGCTACCTTTTGGTGCTACACAGTATACAGAGGAGGCTGCATTTGTCCTCCCGTTTTTGCTCCGTTTGCATGACAGAGCGCACGGACTAAGATCACACAGGTACGTATTAACTAGTCTAAGGTAAGGTAAGAACATATGTCAGTATGTAAAAACGGTGAACTATTCCTTTAAGGTTAGGGTTAAGGCTGGGTTGGGGTTATTTTATGGGAATGGCTGGTTAAGTTTAGGCATGAATAGGTAGTTTTTTATACTTACTTCCACTTCCGTCCAGATTCCGTGACGTAATCTACTACTGCGTATGCTCATTGGATCAAACTGAACTTCCGGACGAATCCGGTTTCCGGGACAAATACGGGAGTGACACTGACCACCATACAAGTGGCACGTGTGGTTTGTTTGCATCCACGGGTGGAAATCTCGCAAAATCTCGCACTTCCGCTTTCCAGCCTTTCAATGGTAAAATAGCTTACCATTGAAGTTTTGTTGATATGCTGGGATTTCAACATTGTTTCAATATCCATTGTAATCGAAATACCATTGAAATCCTGTTGATCTCTAGGTATGATTTAAACGTTGCTTCAATGATAATAGAGGGTGCAACATGATGAATCAACATCAGAGTTCGACGTTCGACGTTGAGTTAATGACTTTATCGTTGACAGCAGGATGTTGATTTAACATCGTTTCAATTACTATTTGCTATCTGGGGAAGCTTCATCAACCCATCACTATACTTTAACTCTTTGGGTTGAGATGTGATTGGTTGAGTGAGGATGGTCCTCTCTTATGTGAAAACTAGAGATTGAAGAACCTGTTTTTTGAGCCAAAAGCTGGAGAAATAAATTAGTGTTTATTTTTGTGGCTGCTTAGAATGCCGGCTCACCGCGAGGCGGCGCGGCTACTTTCGTCGCTCTGGCAACAGTAGTAGAAGAGAGTGCGGAAGCTCCAAACCTCTCGTCACAAATCACCGCCTCGCCTTGGTTTAAACCACACAAAACACTGGCTTCGGGACTGATACCAGCGCAGATCCACGATGGGAACCAGAGACGATGAGTACGACTACCTGTTCAAAGGTAAAGCCCGTGTTCGCCCCTGATTTTCAGCCTGGAGTCCGCTGATTGCACTGAGGCCAGCTGCTGCTAATGACATGCTAACGATGCTAACGCAAAAAGCCCAAGCATCTCGCCCCTGTCTCTTAGTAATCTTTACAGTGACCCTAAAACACACAAACAATATCGTATACTATACGCTATTACATTTATCATCAATAGATGATTAATACATCAGTAGTTGGTTCTTATAAGCCGAGTTCCCTAACAAAACGGTGTTCATTTTTTTTTTTTTTTCTGGTTGGACAGCTTGTGTCAAATCAACACCAACAAGCAGTTTCATCATGCTGACGGCTCCTAAACCGTCTTTGAAAAGCGTACCATTACTATATACTATTATGAGCTTGCTCCACGTCTAGAAAACATGGGTAAAAATGCCATGATCTTCTCCTGTGTTAGCGAAATAACCAGCCTACCATGTTGTGCATGTTTTCCTATTTACAAGGTGTATTTTTAACCCTACTGGTTGTGTTTGGCGATGTTTAAGCCGGCTGAGTGTGGCTGCCTCTGTCTTAAAGCTGGACACACCTTAAGCACAGCGCACCACTCACGGCTGCAGCCTTTTCTTTTTCCTCATGAGCAAATAGGACACGAAGATTAATCACACATTTCACAGAGGCTTCTGATGAGTTAACTTTTGTCAAAACGAGTGTAGCGTGGCAGATTCCCGTGGACAGATATACTAAGAGTTGCCATTGTTTTGGTTATAACATTGTGCTGCTCTGGGGAGATCTCATGCAGTTTATGCAAGGCAGCCCAGGAATGTATGAGAACTAGATTTTTTTTTTTTTTGCCTAGAGCAGAGCGAGCGGGAGAGGGGCCAGAGCTCTTTGAAGTTTTGTTCTAGCGCTGCTTCTGTGTTTTTTTTATAAATCAGAATAACATTGAGATGTGTGTTTGTGTTGCCATTGTCCCAATGGGAGACTCTGGAGTGTGGAAGAGTAAACTGTGCATTTGTGTTGCAGTGGGCCTGATATTTGTGTGTTTGTGTTGCAGTTGTCCTGATCGGAGACTCTGGAGTGGGGAAGAGTAACCTCCTCTCGCGTTTCACCAGGAACGAGTTTAACCTTGAGAGCAAGAGCACGATTGGAGTGGAGTTTGCCACACGCAGCATTCAGGTCGACGGGAAAACTGTCAAGGCTCAGATCTGGGATACTGCAGGACAGGAGCGGTACCGGGCCATCACCTCCGCGTGAGTATTAGTGCGTGCTAGAGAGGCAGGTCTCGACATTAATGTTTGTCCACTTGCCCGGGGCAACTAAAGACTTGGGACGGACAAGTTTGCTGTCTTAGCAAGTTGCCCGATCGGGCAAGTGATAGATTTCTTGAACCCATTCAGGCCGGGAACACATTCCCGCATTTTTACCTCTAGAGCCGGGACTGGACATGTCTGTTTTTCTTTTTTTGACCAGTTCTCCTGACAAATGAAATGCATCAGGATAAAAATTGTCAGCGGATCTGCTTTTTCCACTTTTTCTCACTGAAAAATTTAATTTCTATGAAATGTGTGACCATGGGCACTTTCTGTTTATTGTACGTACTCTAACAGGATTCCACATCCTCCGTTCTGACCCCGGGAGCAATTGCGGTGACAACAGCTCAGCTCAGCGAACGCACAGCCGCAACGTGGTACAGATTGCGGACCATAGACGCGCGGACAGGACCATGGTCTCACGTCTCCTACCAAAGCGCAACCGAAACTCCCCGTAATTAAAGCTTGGGTACCTAAATTTTCCAAAATTTGCGCACAAAAGTAATATGTTGTGAACAAATCAAAAAGAACACACCACAACAGGCAATTTTTTTTTGTATCTCCATGGATCTATGATAATTACTGGATAACTCAAGGTCCAGTCTATTTATAAAGCACATAAAAAGAAAAAAAAACTGACAAGACTGTTACAAAGTGCTTTATTGTCACATTACAAAATACAACACACAAATAAAATACAGCGCAAAAATAAAAGTACTGGTCCACCATCATAAAAGTTTCATTCAAAGCAAAGAAATGTGTCTTTAGCTGCAATTTTTGTAAGTAAATAATCTTTATTTATTTAGCAAATTTTCCCAAACCAAGGTCACCCAAAGCGCTTTACAATGTTCAGAGATGAGATATTTTTCATTCTCTCCACACACAGTGATGGCAGAGGTCACCTGACACAATACGGGTGAGCGTTCCAGAGTGTGGGCCCTGCAATAGCAAAGACTCGGTCTCCTCTGGTCTTTAGTCGAGACCTGGGACAGTGCAGAAAAAGCAGGTCAGGGATTTTAGTGTCCCTTGTAGGGATGCACGATATATCGGCAAACATATCAGCATCAGACCGATGTGTAAAATTGGGCTGATAACCACAGCCGTTTTGCTGGGTTGCAGCGTTACGCAGCGGCTCGAAGTCCTCCGAGGAACAGGAAGTAAATTTCCCCATATACAACAATCTAAATATTCAGTGATTCAGAATGAAAATGCTCTTTTTCTGTGGCGTGTGCAGTTGTGGGAACTGCTCGTATTAAGTGGAGAAGTTATGGAATCTCTATTTTGCTAAAATGTATTCTCTAACGGGTGTCAAATTTTAGGAAAATGCCTAAAAAGGAACAGAAGAAATGCGTTAGCATTAGCAGCCTGTGTAGCATCTGCCACAAACACGGCTGACAATCCGCAGTTTTCACTTAGCAGAGTTGCATAGATATGATGCAGTGTTTTTATGTGGTACGGTTCTAGTAACCGAGGCAACAGGGAGAAATACCCTGTTAATAATACTGTTAATTACATTTTTAAAAGCCAAAGGACGTCTCAAACCAATCCTGCTAAGAGGCTGTACAATCCAAGCTGTTAGCTTCCTTTTAAAAATTAATATTGGATATTGATATCGGCCAAAATTTTCATATCGGTGCATCCCTAGTCCCTTGTCATCCTGAACCCCTTTTCTTGTTAAATTCATCGGTTTTCTATAAATCCACACTTTTGTGCAACAAACTTGTTTTCGTCCAGCTCGAGCTCCACTCTGATCTGCAGCACCTGATTGGTCTGAACGCTACTATGCCCCTGCATGAGAGCCACACACGTGTGCTCGTTAGTATTTTGCGCAAAAAATCATTGGAGCTTGTACTATGCACACAACCGGGAGGACCAGATCTAGGCAACCTGCCCACAACAAACTAGTATCTGGGGAAATTCCTTGGTTATCCATGACTTCCAGCAGCGCTATGGCCAATCACTATCTGTTAGAACACTTTAGTACCAGCTTGGCACTGGGACAAAAAAGGTCTGGTATCTCAATCAGTGGAGAGTAAATGTCCATGTACACTTGTAATTATCTATAACCCCTTTTTTTGTTGCAGTTACTACCGTGGGGCTGTAGGGGCGCTGTTGGTCTATGACATCGCCAAACACTTGACGTATGAAAATGTGGAGCGGTGGTTGAAGGAGCTGCGGGACCACGCTGACTCCAACATTGTCATCATGTTAGTGGGAAACAAGAGCGACCTCCGCCATCTACGGGCCGTGCCCACGGATGAGGCCCGAGCCTTTGCTGGTGAGAACTGAGACTAGAGAGAGAGAGGGGGAGACTAGAGAGAGAGAGCAGAGAGACTGCAAGGGAGAGGGAGAGAAAGACAATCTGTGCCTGGTGTTTTATTAGTTTTCTGCCTGGAGATGGTGCCATTCAGCTACACTTCAGTTATTTTAGCTGTCGGCCTCTTTATCTGTAGAACAAAACAAAGGTCTAAGTTAAGCAAGCTAAGGAAAGTGGTTGTGTGTATAAATGTGTTGCATCAGATTCTGGATCTTTAATTTTGTGCTGTCTTTTTGAAACGGTCTCACTTTTTCTTGACACTTTTGGTTGTGAGACACACACCAATACCATGTTTTTTTTTAATATTACCAGTGACTACTATACATCTACCTTTAGCCAATACTTTTGATACATATTCAAAAGGTATTTTTGTGATACTAGAATTATGACACCTCTTCTTCATCATTCTTTATGCACCTTTTTGTAAAACCCATTCTTTTCAACTGTTCATGTTTTAAAACAAAAGTGGCTCTCTTAAAGCATTACTATTTGAGCATTTTTTTTTTTTTGGTTCATTTCTTTTTATTGTCTCATTTTTTATCACATTACGGCCACATTTTGTCACATTTTTGTCACATTTTTGTCACGTTGTCGTCACATTTTCATCACATTATCGTCACATTTTTGTCACGTTATAGTCACATTTTTGTCACATTACGGTCCTATCTTTATCACATTTTTGTCACATTGTCGTCACGTTATGGTCACATCTTTGTCACATCTTTGTCACATTATGATCACATCTTTGTCACCTTATGGTCACATTTTTGTCACGTTATCGTCACCTTGTCGTCCTATTATGGTCACATCTTTGTCAAATTTATTTGTCACATTGTCGTCAAATTTTTGTCACTTTATCCTCACATTTTTTTGTTACATTGTCGTCACATTTTTGTCACTTTATCGTCACATTTTTTGTTACATTGTCGACACATTTTTGTCACTTTATAGTCACATTGTCGTCACATCTCGTTATCACTTATTTTTTTTCCTTTCCCCCGTGTGTCTTTAAGCTGCTGAAATGATTTCATATTTTCCCCTTCAAACAGCTGCCCAATATGGACAAGTCCCTTGGATTCCCACTTTTGAAATCCCATCTCCATATTTGAGGGTATAAAATCACAATTTTTTCCTATTCTAGTGACCCTGCAGATTGAACTAGACATTTCCATTTTCTTTTTTATCCCCATCCATATTTCCATTGTTCCTTTAACCCATTCATTTTTTATTTTCAACTGTTTTAGATTTTGCTTTCTAATGAAGGGTAAGCTTTGTAATTCTACTTTTGGGCATGAATTTTGTTCCATTTCCCTCCATCCCGTCTCTTCCTCATTATTTACCCAAATATTTATGATTCTTAAATGTGCTGCCCAATAATATCTTTTAATATTAGGCAAATTCAAACCTCCTTTTTCTTTGGAGCATTGTAGTAATGTATATCTTACTCGTGGCTTTTTATTTCCCCAAATAAACTTTGAGATCATATGATCAATTCTTTTTAAATATTGTTTTTGGGAGCTGGATGGGTAGGGATTGGAACAAAAACAGTAACCTTGGCAGAACATTCATCCGTATTACTTCTATTCTTCCCATTGTTGTCAAGGGCAAAATTTCCCATCTCACTAAATCTTCTTTAATCTCCTTGAATAATTTCTCATAGTTGGCTGTAAATGGATTTGATAACTTTTGTGTAATAGTAATGCCAAGGTATCTAAAGCCCTCATCCGTCCATTTGAATGTAGTCTTTTTTTTTTTTTTTAGTTATTCTGGACATTTTCCAGATATGATCATTGCAACCGATTTAGATTCATTGTTCAAGTATCCGGAGATTTCCCCAAACTCTCTTAAAATGTTATTCAGGATGGGTACAGTCTCAGCAGGGTTACTTATATACATGAGGATATCTTATATACATGAGGATATCATCTGCGAATAATGATATTTTTGACTCCACATTACCTTCATCTACGATGCCCTTTATATCTGGACTTTGTGTAATATATTCAGCGAGCGGTTCTATACTTAAAGCAAATAATAAAGGGCTTAAACAATCTCCCTGCTTTACTCCTCTCTTCAGAAAGAAAAAGTCGGAGCAGCATCCATTTACTCTAATCCTGGATTTTGTATCTTTATAAACAAATTTAACCCAATTAATGAATGTTGAATGGAACCCAAACACTGATAATGTGTGATATAGATATTTCCATTTCACACAATCAAATGCTTTTTGTGCATCTAAGCTTAATAACAACATGTATTTGGGTTCCTTCTTGCACTAGACATAAGATTTAAAGTTCGCCTAATATTATTAGCGCCCTGTCGTCCCGGTATGAATCCTGTCTGATCGGGTTTAATCAACCTTGTTATGTATTTCTGTATTCTTTTTGCCATTATACTTGTTAAAATCTTCAAATCATTACATAGCAGGCTAACAGGGCGGTAGCTTTCACACAAAGTAGAGTCTTTACCTTCCTTATGCAAGACAGAAATGACAGCTTTTGACCATGATGTTGGAATGTTCCCTGATTCCAAGGCATAGTTAAACACTTTCTTTAGTAGTGGGGCTATTTCTTCCTTAAAAAATTTATAGAATTCTCCCGGAAATCCGTCCGTACCTGGACTTTTGTTGTTTTTCACATTCTTAATTGTATCAAATATTTCCTTGAGAGAAATTTGTTCTGTCATTTCCAGCGCTTGTTCTGGAATCAGTGCTGGTAGGTTAAATTTGTTCATAAACTGTTGCATCTTTTCTTCCAAGGATGGTATTTCTTGGTCATTATATAGCTCTTCATAATATTCTGCAAATATTTTTGCAACCTCTTTTGGTTTAACCTTAATCTCCTTAGAAATAGGATGCCGTATCTTCGTTATTGCCTGGTCCGACTGTTTCTTTCTGAGTTGATATGCTAGTAACTTACTTGCTCGATTACCCTTTTCATAATAATTTTGATTAACAAATCTTAACGCCGCTTCTACTTTAAAAGTCAATAACTGATCTAATTTGGATCTAATTTCTTTAAGTTCTAATAAAGTACCGTGATTTAGCGTTTTTTTATGCTCATTTTCTAATTTTCTTCTCCAACTCTTGTTGCTTTTTTTTTTTTTTTTATCCTAGATGTTATCTCCATCATTTTCCCTCTTAATACTGCTTTCCCACATTCCCATAACGTTGTAGGGTTAACTTCTCCATTATCATTAATCTCAATGTATTGCTGTATGCATTGTTTTATTTCCTGAACCACCGTCTCATCTGTCAAAACATATACATTACATCTCCAGTACTTGAAAAACGACTCTTTATTTAACTCAATTGCTAATTTAATCGGGGCATGATCACTAATTGTTATTTTTCAATTTCACAGCTTTTTACTTTATGTAATTCCTGTATTTGAGCATTTTTATGTTTAACTTTCGATATTTTACTCCTCTTGCCTGAACCAGAGGTCCCCTTCACATATTTTAATATTCTATACATCCATAAACGTCCATTAAATCTGGTTAATAATTTTGAAATGTGTGCACTATTATTTTCTCTCCCATTTGACATCAAACATATTAACATATTCATAAGAAGATAATACATAACTGTTAATGCTGATATTTAACCACAGTTGAACCTGACAAAATCTCACACAACAGACAGACATAAGTTAATCTTTTACTTGTTACCTGGTTCAAGGAGAAAAAGTCTTGAGAGACGGGGCACAGAGCCCGGTCTCTCTCAGACCAGATCTGAAGCTCAGTCGGTAGCTCCTTTCATACTAGAAGACACATGCAACTTTGAAGTGCCACAGAATATTCATTATGTTTATCATTTGCCACATAATTAAAGCAACTTCATGCTAAATGTTTTTTGTATCCGATTAGTCGACAAATCGTTTCAATAGTCTGTGACTAGTCGACCATTAAAATAGTCGTTAGTTGCAGCCCTACTTATAACTTCTCTTTTTCGCCATCACTCTTGCTGTACTATCGCTAAACTATATCGCTAATCTGTCTCAATGCTACGCTACTATCTCTCTTTCCGCTACACTCTACCAGTTCTCCAAACACTCCCACACTCCTCCTCCCCACTGACTTTTGACCCCACCTCTGGTGCAATACTGCATCCTACTGGTGTCGATTGATCATTACAAGTACAATTGTACTATGGATCAGTATTGTGGCTCATTCATAAGGTGCGCCAGACATTACTTTAGCCTCCTGTGTAATGACGTGAAAAACTCGTCATGGGCAGTGGGCGTTACTATAAAATAGAACAAGTTTTGTTGTCATGGGCAGCCAATGAGTTAATAAGATTATATATATATATATATATAAATTTTATACACACATACACAGTGCTTTGCGAAAGTATTCGGCCCCCTTGAACCTTTCAACATTTCGCCACATTTCAGGCTTCAAACAAAGAATCAACAACAAGTGGGACACAATCGTGAAGTGGAACGAAATGTATTGGATAATTTAAACTTTTTTAACAAACTGAAAAGTGGGGCGTGCAATATTATTTGGCCCCCTTGCGCTAATACTTTGTAGCGCCACCTTTTGCTGCAATTACAGCTGCAAGTCGCTTCGGGTATGTCTATCAGTTTTGCACATCGAGAGACTGGAATTCTTTCCCACTCTTCCTTGCAAAACAGCTCGAGCTCAGTGAGGTTGGATGGAAAGCGTTTGTGAACAGCAGTCTTCAGCTCTTTCCACAGGTTCTCGATTGGATTCAGGTCTGGACTTTGACTTGGCCATTCTGACACCTGGATACGTCTATTTGTGAACCATTCCATTGTAGATATGGCTTTGTGTTTTGAATCATTGTCCTGTTGGAAGATAAATCTCCGTCCCAGTCTCAGGTCTTTTGCAGACTCCAACAGGTTTTCTTCCAGAATGGTCCTGTATTTGGCTCAATCAATTTTAGCCATCTTCCCTGTCCCTGCTGAAGAAAAGCAGGCCCAAACCATGATGCTGCCACCACCATGTTTGACAGTGGGGATGGTGTGTTCAGGGTGATGAGCTGTGTTGCTTTTACGACAAACATATCGTTTTGCATTGTGGCCAAAAAGTTCGATTTTGGTTTCATCTGACCAGAGCACTTATTCCACATGTTTGGTGTGTCTCCCAGGTGGCTTGTGGCAAACTTTAAACAAGACTTTTTATGGATATCTTTGAGAAATGGCTTTCTTCTTGCCACTCTTCCATTAAGGCCAGATTTGTGCAGTGCACGACTGATTGTTGTCTTATGGACAGACTCTCCCACCTCAGCTGTAGTTATCTGCAGTTCATCCAGAGTGATCATGGGCCTCTTGGCTGCATCTCTGATCAGTCTTCTCCTTGTTTGAGATGAAAGTTTGGAGGGACGGCCGGGTCTTGGTAGATTTGCAGTGGTCTGATACTCCTTCCATTTCAATATAATTGCTTGCACAGTGCTCCTTGAGATGTTTAAAGCTTGGGAAATCTTTTTGTATCCAAATCCGGCTTTAAACTTCTCCACAACAGTATCTCGGACCTGCCTGGTGTGTTCCTTTGTCTTCATGGTTCTCTCTGCGCTTTAAACAGAACCCTGAGACAATCAAAGAGCAGGTGCGTTTATACGGAGACTTGATCACACACAGGTGCATTCTATTTATCATCATCAGTCATTTAGGACAACATTGGATCATTCAAAGATCCTCACTGAACTTCTGGAGTGAGTTTGCTGTACTAAAAGTAAAGGAATAATATTGCACGCCCCACTTTTCAGTTTATTTGTTAAAGTTAAAATTATCCAATAAATTTTGTTCCACTTCACGATTGTGTCCCACTTGTTGATTCATGACAAAAAAATATTTTTTTTGTATCTTTGTTTGAAGCCTGAAATGTTGAAAGGTTCAAGGGGGCCGAAATACTTTTGCAAGGTTCTGTATATATGTCTAATTATTAGACATTATTGATCTCACACTGGAGACATTTACATCAGCAAAAAGACAAGTGTGCAACATGTTGAGGTTAAAAATAGTCTGAGCAGGATATAATAATGTACAATGAAAAAGCGGCAATAAAAGAAAAAAATCATTAGTGACTTATTGTACAGTCTGACAGCGGTGGGGATAAAGGCCCTGCGGTAGCGCTCCTTCATGCACTGTGGGTGCCTGTATTCCACTGAATGAGCTCCTCTACAGTCCAGTGGGTAGGAGGTGTTGTCCATGATGGAGGCGACTTTGGCTAGCACCACCATCATGGACAACTCCTCTCCCTCACCAACTCCATAGCCATGACATTTCAATTTAAGATGCGCAGATTCAGGCATTCAACTGGTTTTACAATGTCTGTGTGCCTTCTGTACTCCTTGAGTTTTTCGCTTGACTCGGTCCTGTAAGGATGCCTGTTGCTGCTCTCTGCTCCAGGTGTTTCCTCTACTCTCGGGTTGCCAAGTTGATAATAGCCAAATCTCATCACTGTCAGGGGTGTCCTTCATACACATGCCCAAAGTAGTTTTTTAACCCATTGAGGCCGGGAACGCATACCTGTGTTTCTACCTTTCAAGCTGGGAGTTAGTGCCACTTTATTGCCAAACTCTTTCACTTATTGTATTGAGAAACGTGTGTTTGTCTCACAATTTTTTTTGGCTGTTTTATTGCATTTCTTCTGTGGAAGTTGTATATTTTGTTTTATTCTATTGAAGGTTTATAATAATACTTTGCATTCCTATTGACAGCCACAAGTCTCAGCTCTCAAATTCTTTTGTAATTATGTTTCTATCTGCTACAAAGGCTGAGATATCAATCATTCTAAATGTAGAAAATTCATTTTGTCTTATGTTTATGACTTTTTAGGTTCTTCTAATAAGACAATTAAAGCAAACCAAAGCTAGTGCTGCTTTAATTACCTGACATGTTTCGGCGGTACACTTCCGCGGAAGTGTACCGCCAAAACATGTCAGGTAATTAAGCAGCACTAGCTTTGGTTTGCTTTAATTGTCTTATTAGAAGAACCTAAAAAGTCATATCAATCATTCTGTTGACGTTGAATTTCAGAAAAACTTCAGGTTCTGGAGGGTGGTTCTAAAGTCTGCTATAGGTTTTACAGGTCTGATTTACCAGGTGTGTCAGGCCTCAATGGGTTAATGGATTCCCTCAAGCTTTAGTTAGAGAAAAATCTTTCTCTTTCGTTCTGGAGAGGCAGCAAAACGACTCTATTCAAATCGTGATGTGGCACCAATTCGTGACGCCCGTCTCCAGGAGGTGATTGACAGCAGGGAGAAACCGAAACAGCCAATTGGTGCATGCAACTTTAGCAATGACATCAAGGAGTTACAATTTATCCTCTGCATTTGACACATCCTGATGCCTCCTAAGGTAGTTGTCGGCCACCCGCGGCTCTTTAGTGCCCCTCGAGTGGCTCCTGGAGACGTAGAATGTGGCTCGACTTTATTTATGGAGATGTGCCTCTGAAATCCGCAACGTGTATATTCATCTATAAGCGACACTTTACCAAAGACTGTTTCCAGAACTACAGTTACCTTGAAACGGGACTTTCTCAAAAGTTGATCTTGAAACCTAGTTTTATTTCCACATTAAAAGACGCTTAACGAGGAGCCCTTGATCTGTAACTACAAAGCGACTAACTCGCTGTGTACTACTGTTAACTAAATGATTAGGGTCTGATTCTTGATCAAGGAAATAGGGCTCTATGTGACCGATTGCCATTGTTGGAAAAAGTTTATTTTCGGGTCTGAAATGTCTAAACCAGCGAAAGCTCAACAGTTGGCTTTCACAGTGATTTAATTACTTCCTAGTTAGCGTGAGGCTACCTCACGGGCCCACAGGAGAGCCCTGCACTTGAGCCCTTGGCCCGAGGGGCCCGACAGCCCGAGGACAGGGCTTCGGGCCGATGACGATATAATTACCTCAGACACGGGCCGGGCTCTGGCACTTTTATTTATTAATTTTCAGAGCGGCAGATTACATTTACGAACGCACCCAATGAATATAGCGTTCCATTACGCTGCAGTGTTTATTGTTCTGTATAGTATTGTCATTGACAACACATAGCGTTACCTTCAAGTGTGTTGTAGTTTATTGCGGCATCTGGGTCTCATCTCACAAGTTTTGAGTGTTGTATGGTGTATCACCCAAATTATCGCATATCTGCTTAGAATGCACTGTGAAAAAGAACGAAATATGTGACCTTTTAATGTCTCTTCTAAAATCACGGATCCCCTTTCAAGATTTTTTTACGGGATGGCTCAGGTGCACCCTATTCTTGTGGACTAGAACTAGCCCCGGAGAGCAGCTTTCACGGTCTTTTTTTGGTATTGTCCTTGTTTATATTAGTCTTTGTTTTGCTTCTTGTCATCACTTTTTTCCATCTTCCAAATAGCACCCTTGAATTAAAAACAAATTTTTTTGGAGTGAAACCGTCCGGTAAAATCAATCCTAACCCTTTTTTTTATTTTTTTGTGCAGAGAAGAACGGTTTATCTTTCCTGGAGACGTCTGCGCTGGACTCCACTAATGTTGAGACTGCATTCCAGACCATCCTCACAGGTGAGTCCAGGTTCTGTACACTCCAGACCAGGGGTCTCAAGTTTTTGTTAGCACAATTTTTTCGCAACAAAAATGGCAGAGAGCAACTCTTTTTTTTTTTTGCAGTCGTTTAAAAAATCTGTTGTGTATGTTAATAGCTCATGAAATCATAAAAAACCATATGTACCACATTATTGCATAACCCTACATTAGTGAGCTTGACAAAAAATCTAGTGTATACAGTGCCTTGCAAAAGTATTAATACAGCTTGAACTTTTGCACATTTTGTCATGTTCACAACAAAGATTTTTTTTCTGAAAGTTCACATACAAATAACAACTGAAGTGAAGGCAAAATGATACATGATTTAGTTATTTTCAAATAGAATATCGAAAAGTTGGGCATGCACAAGTATTTCTACAGCATATGAGTTGTTACTTTGTGGAACCCTCTTGCTGCAATAACAGCAGCAAGTCTTTTGGGGTATTACTCTACATACAAGATTCACACATTTAGACACAAAGTTTAGCTCATTCCTCTTTACAAAACATCTCAATCTCTCTCAAATTAGATAGAAAGCATTTTCTGACATGATTTTTGTTTTGTTTTAAACCATTTCATTGTAGTTAGATTTAAGATTTAGATTCTTTATTTGTCCATCAGTGACCAGTTACAAAACAGTAGGAATGAGGACTGCACAGCACAAGTGAACAATCTCTCTATACTTTAGAAATAAATAAAAATCATTTAGCTTAATAGAGAAGCAAGTTTTAAATACTTTGTTGGTGAAAGAAATTCAATTAAGATGTATGACTATACAAGAATACATTTAACAAAACCATTGCATTTGCCAACACAGATCAGAGAATCAACAGTTCAACACAAGAAATGCAACAAGGGGCAGATGACCAATGTCCATTATGATGATAAATGTCCGTAATTGTTGTTGAATGTTCAGTTGAGTGTCCTGGATCATCACCACTGTCCTTCTAGTTAGACCCTCTACCAATCTAACAGACCCTTCTGCATCAGCAAGAATACTCTTAAAACCCTGTGGGAAAGGATGAAAAACCTCGGAGGTCCACACTGAGAGTGAGCTGCTCCCACAGACAGATGGGCTAAAGATCCAGGTCTTGGGCTACAGAACGAGGACCAAGGCCATGCAGCGCAGGACTCGGGTTGTAGAACGAGGACAGTCTAAAAGTAGCTCCCAGGCGCAACAGTCCCATAGTTACGCCATGAAAAAGACAATGGGACAGCGGGTGAATAGCAATCATAATGACAGATAAAGTAGGAAACCGGCAAACTGACTCCATATGGAGCTTTAAGCCAACAAAAATATAAACGCAATGTTTTTGCTCCCATTTTCCATTAGATGAACTTATAGTACTAGAATTTACCATGCTGCTATCCAGAATATATAACTACAATATGTGTTTTATGGATTTTACAATATACATTGTTGTAAATAAATCAAAGGCAACTGAAAGGCAAGTGAGACTGGCATAATGTAAAAACGAATATTAGCCTTGTAAGCATGTTTTAGGATATCTTGATCTTCAAGTAGCTACCTTGCCCAACACTGGGGACCGTTAGGCCAAGTAATTAGCTTGGATCTCACATATAAGGTTAAAAGAGTTGCACACTATTATGTACAAAACTGATGAAAATATGTTTATACCTTGTTCAGATGACAGTGAAACCTCAGATTCTTCTCCAGATTCATCATCAATTAACTCGCTGCTCCTACAGATTCCAGGCATGACGGCTATTGCCCGTTCCTATTTTATAGTCTGTTTGTTTAGTCAGTAAAGTCCTAGACATAGAAACACTTACTTCATGTCTCTTGTGTATGTAACGGGCAAAAACAAATACTAGTCACAGAAGAGGAAATGTTTTGTCAGTTAAATCTTACACCTAAACAGTTACTCACATAAAGAACAAAGGAGTACACATAAAGACAGTGTGCACATAAAGCCTCTATTTTTAAAATTTTTCATGTCCAATTTCAATTATTTAGAAATCTTTTGTCTTATTATGCTGGTTACCACAAAGGTCTGCCAAAAAGCCATTAATCAGCTGAAGAACTGTCACCACTCTCAAACTGTTCCATTTCCCCGAAAAGGCAATTTTTTCGACATGCGTGACATCTCACTGCCCCAATTCTTTTTGAGGAGAAACATTGGATTACCTGCCTTCAAAGACGATTCAAATTTAGTTTTTTTATATATTTTGTTTTACCTTGTCGTTGTGGCTGTCCAGAACTGCAGTTCTGCCGTTCTCTCTTTATGACCCAATGTCACGCTCCTGTTGCCCACGATTGAACACGCTCAACCTCTGGCTCGAAGGACCAAACATGTTAAAAAGGGGTTCTACTACAGTATCTGGACAAATGCACTCAACAGACGAGGTATTCGTTTTTTTACTTACATGTAACAAGGAGATGTCTTTACGGCTGGCAAGGAGGCGTCTGCGTCCTACTCAGCTAAAAGCCAAGTCCTCCTTGATGCTCTGCAGGCAGGTTATTTATTCAGAACAGAAATCCCACACCCTCACAACGGAAATAGGTGAAGTTACACATTAACCACTTGTTGGACGTCTTGCAACATAGTTTCACAAAACATTGTGGATAATTATTAGCTTGGTTTCAACACCTCAATGGTATATTTCCACACACAATGTAGGTCAACCCAAAACTTATCTAGACTGAATATATTCATTCATTTAAATGATAACCTTACAATTCCACTATCAGTCACTTTCTAGCCTCTGCAGTAGAATGCTGTGGTCTCTTACGTCAAATACAGTGCTGAGGTCCAGCAGGAACAACCTTTACACTTGTCCGTCCTCAGCAGCTAGTTTAACAGGGTTTGTACATATCCTTAAGTCGGGAAACTGCTTTTTTTTTTCCTCAATTTTTTCAGTGTTCTAATATAGAAATAGCATTCAGTACTTTTAAAAATGAATGATTTTGACTCCATCGCCATGTAAATGTTGCTCCCGGGAATGACTCTGCTGCTCAGTGACAACTGCTGAAATTAACATGCCAAATTGGAAATGGTTTAAAGTTTCGTTACGACAAGGCCAAGATGAGAAACATCGACGGTCTGCAAATACTAAATACATACGATGGGCGGCAGTTGCAAGTCAAGCCAAAGGTAATTGACAAAGTTATCGCTATTCACTAACAACATGAATAACTAACGCTAGGCTTTGACAGCAGCGTGGCTAGCATGCAGCTGTAACATGGTCAAAATATATCCAGCACGGACAGGAGCATTCCTGCGTGTTGCAAGTGCATGTCTTTGCGTTACCTGTGCACGTGACAAATACGCAGCTCTAAGAAACAGCTGGATTGTAGGAGGATCTTTGTTTACATCCGCGTGCACTTGCTGAGTGGCAAGAAGACAGAGCGGCACATACTGAAGCATCCATATGACGAGTACTTTTAAAAGACTTAGTGGGCAAAATGTATATAAGCACTTTAACGCAAGAAGATCAGAGATAAAAATAAGTGAGACCGAACTGAACAAATCCAAAGCCCATGAGACCTGGGATGTCTAGAAAAAACATTGGTCAGACTCGCCTCTGTCTTGTCACCAATTTCTACTGCATAGAAAACCTGGTATTGCGTTTTTCACGGTAAAGTTGCCCGGCTTTTTGCCGTCGCTGTAAAGTGGTCTGCACATTAAAAGTGGGTTGCCCCTTTTATGCTGTTACTTACAGTAAACGGGAAAAAATTCTGGTTGTGCCCAAAAGTAAAATGTTACCTAATCGGACCACAACAGGCAGTCTTATGTTTTTTTTTCTCTGAAATAAGTCATTTATGACTTTGACTAGTGGTGTTTTATTGCTATGATGAGCTCTGAATCAAGATTGAAAGATTTCAAATAATTTATTTTTCTGTAGGTGGCAGCATAGTTGTTTGGCAATAATCTTTTCAAGGATTTCGGATATAAAGTTGGTCTGTAATTTGAAATCAGGGTCGAGATTAGGTTTTTTCAGAAGAGGTTCGATTACCGCAGTTTTAAAAGTTTGTGGGACATAGCCACTTTCTATAGAAGTATTTATTATATTTAAGATTGGCTCTATTGTTAAAGGAAGCCTAGCTGAGATTGGATCTGAAATGCAGGTTGTGGATTAGAGGATGCGATCAGAGATCACTTCTGCTTGGCTCACAGCCATGAACTTGTCCAGGCCTACTGAGGAGTCTTAGTGGGACTTAAAGTTTACTGCTTCAGCCTGTTCGTCACTAATATTGGTTTGTCACAGATAGATGTAATTTTATTATTAAAAGAATCGAAGGAAGTCAACACTGCTGATAGATTTGTATTTTACTCTCGATTGCGCTGTAGCAGTTGCTTAGGGGCGGTGGTGACTGGAAATGTATTTTTTTATTCACTTTTATTAAAGTAGAATAGTATTGAGTTCGAGCTTTACAAACGGCATTCTTGTAGTTTCTGAAACTTGTTCTCCATTCTCTGTGGGCAAGCTCCGAGTGGGAGTGGCGACATAGCCTCTCCAGGTTTCTGACATTCCGTTTTTGAGTATGCACTGGCCAGCGCCCTTTTCTATGCTGTAGTCTGCTGGGGGAGCATCACGACCAAAAGGGACCTCTCCCGGATTGACAAGCTGATTCGTAAAGCTGGACAGGTTATTGGCTATCAGCTGGAGACATTTACAACAGTGAGAGACAGAAGGTCACTGGAGAAACTGCTCTTCATCATGGACTATCCAACACATCCACTCCACCGAACTATAGAGGGGCAAAGGAGCTCCTTCTCAAATAGACTCCTACAGCTCCGCTGCCACAGTAAGCGTGCATAGTAAGGGCACGTTCATGCCACACTCCATCCTGCTGTACAACAAGTCACCACTCTTTGACAGATAACACATTCCTCTAAACAGACTTCAACTTTATCTGCTTTGTCTTTGTATATATTAACATGTATATTCCTGGGCACCTACAGTACCTTTCCTCGACAGAAAAGGTACTGCTATCACACAGTGTGGTTCGACAGGAGCAGTTGACTACTTAAATCAAACTGTACACGAAACTTTGACTCTTAAAATCAACATATTGCATCAAAAGTGACATGTGTGTCTTAATTCATTTGTATTTAAACTTTTAAAGCAATTAATGGACTTTGCGGCCGCCATCTTGGTTTGCTTTGACTGCCGTGAGAAGCGCATGCACAGGTTTGCATTAAATCATTAACAGCTGAGGCAGTGCAAACCGACGTTACACCGGCAAGGAAGCCGGATGCGTCACCCGTGAATGAATGAAGTGCAAATACGAGACTCATGCAGCCGATCACGCCATACCCAATACAAAGTTTTGGGTCTTAGTCTTTGTTTGTGCTCTTGCACTTAGTTGTACCCACATCCTAACCACTGTTGTTCATTCTTGTTTATAAGTATGAAAAAAAAACACGGAAGCATAAGTCCGCCCATTAAATAGTCCGGTTGAAAAGACAAACGTTACGGGGCTTGTGCGGACCGAGGGATACCCGCTAAAGCTACAAACATATTTTTATGGAGCCTCGTGGAGTAGTATTGTCACATTTACCTAATATTACAATTTGTCAAATGGCAAAATGGACCTCAAAATGGCCCCTTATGAAACAAATGCAATTACCATGCAGTTGAGCATGGTAATGGCTATTATGCTGATAGCATCGCAGCTGCTCTGGTATTTTATAATCCTTTCATTTTCATAACCAAATTGTGTTTGTTTAAACGTCAATACTGAAACATATTGAGTTATAGAGTTTATACTGGTAAATAAATTGAGTCATGTTTAACCCGATGATCTGGTGGTTTTGTATCACTTCAAAATTGAAGTAAAATTACATTTGTACTGCATTGTGCCTTTGTTTACAGGTAAACCATGAAAATGAATGCATAGTACTCTTCCAGAGTCATCTGCACTTTGGTTGCCAGTGCTCTCCTTGTTAGTTTAGCTGGACGGCGTGGTCTTGTTCAGTGGTGCCATACTCAACTCAACTACTTTATTTTTTATTTAAGGATAAAAATCAAGACAGAAGAAAACAAACAGAAGCATAATTAAAAAACAAAGAAAAGGACAAAGGGGACAAACAAAAACCATTCACACAAAAACTAAAAATGTCTAACAATTAGGGCTGTCAAACAATTATTTTTAATTGAGTTAATTACAGCTTTTCAAACTATTGGCAAAATTATGCCATATTTTGCTGTAAATGGTTGTTTGAACGGAAAGAGAAATGACAACATAGTGTACATTAGTACTGTATTTGTTTATTATAACAATAAATCCACATAAAATGTCATTAACATTCTGTCTTTCTGTGGTACAGTATTAAAAAAGTTAAAACAGTATTATTTAAAGTTTAATTTAATTGAAAAATTGAGCTCATAATTTGAGCTCAAGAGCCCGCTCTTGTATGAATTCAGGCCATAAAAAGTGCTGATTAGAAACTTTGCATGACACTCGTTCTCCTAGGCCACCCCTCCTCTAGCGTCTGCAGCGCATGTAAACACAGCAGCATGGCAGCTGAAAGTGGCTATACCTGCCTCAGACTAACTTTGGATGCGAAACTGGTGGTAATCTTTCAATTATTGTACTGTATATTTTATTAGCAGTGCGATGCTTTTGTACCACTTCATCAGGGATTAATGTACAATTTATAAGCAGTTGTGCTTATGCTAACATATGCCTACCAGCTCTGTCGCCATCGTTCGTTGCATTCCAAGTGTTATTATGGAATGCATTGGCTGATCATTCGGCACATGCATCAAATTTTGACAGCCCTACTAATCAGAATTTCTTTCCAATGATGAGGCATCAAGAATTTCAGCAGAAAAAAAGTTTGGGAATCACTGCAACAGGGCAAGGTGTTCAGCAGTCATTAGGAATGCTTTAAAGCAGGGGTGCTCAATACTACCTTCGCGATCTACCAGTCGATCGCAAAGGTAGTATTGGTAGATCGCCTTACATTAAAAAAAAAAAAAAAAAAATCTGTTTATGCATTTGCCTGTAGATAGAGAACCTGAGTTTTGCGTTTTCGCACACACCAGTTTGCCCCCAAAAACAACAACAAACAAAACGTGCAACCTCTGATCACTGAAGAAGCATGGATTATACTGCCTTAAAAACTGTTGCGGACCGCTCGCAGCAGCGAACATCCTCCACGTCAGAGAGCAGCAAAGTGATCACAGGGACTCGCGCTCGAAAACAACCAAAACAGGAGCTAAACCAGGATCAAACCAGGGCTGAGGACGGGGGTCAGTGCTTGTAAACATATGTATTCACCATGGATCTACAATAATGTCTTCACCCTGAGTTTCTTCTGTGACTAAGTGCCGCTACAAAAGTACCGGCGTCTGCATCAAAGCTCCGCCCACTTCAGTTTTTGCATGTACTTCAACATACATTGTAGATATAAAAAATCCTCAATATATTTGGAAATAAATGTTTTGCATTTTTGTAGTAGGTAGATCATTTTGACTTGATCATTTTATAAGAAGCTTGCATGCTGAAAAAGTGTGAGCACCCCTGATGTAAGCTAACGCTATATTCACCCGGGCTTGATTTCTTCTTTGATCATTTTTTAGCTTTAGCTCCCTCTTCTCCTCCTCACTGTTGCGTCTTTTGGGCTGTTTTATTGCTGTGTCTGCAGTTACAGCCACCCACCTTCTCCTAACATGCTGCTGTTGTTTACATGCGCTGCAGATGCTAGAGGGGGCGTGGCCTAGGAGAACAAACTGCACGCAAAGAATCTACTCACCATTTTTTACGACCATACCATAGACTGTAAATATTCATACACAGCTGAATGAATGAGCTCAACTTTTCACTGAAATTACGGGTTTTAATACAACTTAAAAAAAACACTACTACAGAGACAAAATGTTAATGTTATTGCCAATTTATGTGGATTTATTGTTAAAATAAACAAAGACAGTACATATCAGAGATGGGGACTCGCGAGTGCATGCTGAAAAAGTGTGAGCACCCCTGCTTTAAAGACATGTACTTTAAAAAAAAAAAAAAGTACCATTTTACTTTCTCTTCAGTTATCTGTTAATTGTGTGTGAACTTTCAGTACAAAATATCAAATATAAATAGTCATTAGAAATATTATATTAATCAAAATATATTTTTGTTGTGAACCTGAAAGTTTATTAGTACTTTCGAGTCTGTCTGTCTCTCTCTTGCTCACTCACTCACTCCGCTTTAACTACGCAAATTATCAGGTTTTGTAATTCACGTGTTTAAATAATTTGTTTTCCCTGACAGAGATCTACCGCATTGTGTCTCAGAAGCAGATGTCCGAACGCCAGGAGAGCGACATGTCCCCAAGCAACAACGTGGTCAACATCCAGGTACAGCCCACCGAGAACAAGCCAAAGATGCAGTGCTGTCAAAATATCTGACCCTAAGTGTGCTCCTGGGACCACATCACTGGACCAGATCATCAGCCGCAAACAGACCACACCGCCGGACCAAACCATCAGCCCTCCTGCCCTAACAAAAATCGCATCTCTGGACCCTCCCTGGACCCACACCACTTCTTCGGACCCCCGCAGTCCTCATAACGACTTTTGCTCCTCAATCAGTGCACAAACCGAGATGATTGTTTTACTGTATATTGCCGTTTTAAAACAACCCTCTGTCAACCCTGTGTTTCCCTGTGTCTGGGGTTTTCTAATCAGTAAATACACCCTTTGACATGATTGTCTCACACTATGTGTACCATCGGAGCTGGAGTGATGGCAGCTGGAAACCTATAGTTATGTGGTTCCTTCAAACTCCACTTACCACAGACAGCTGAGGGCCAATCCTACGTATGTAAGTCTAGTTTCAAAAATTCAATTTTCTCAATTTTTGAGATGTTTCCCTTCATCTCCCGACCTTCCCTCAAACCCTGTCCCTACTTTAAGGTCGCACCCCTGGTCTAAATTCCCGTGTTGTATGAACATGTTGGAGTTTGGCCCTTATAGAGTCGCATTATCTTCTGCAGGAGAATAAACGGGATCCTTTTCAGCAACGCAAAACGCTACAATCATGTTTGTTTGCGTACACACTGTGTGGAGTTTGAGTCTTTAGTTCCCCCTACCCCTCAGAACAGATACGGCTTTGGATACAATCAGCACAGTCTGTAGAAGTGCTGACTCTTCATATGAATGTGATTATTTCCTCTTTTCGCTTGTATCTACTCTGTCGATCTGTCCACTGACGATGTAGATATACATTGTGAATAAGTGATTACATACAACAAGGAAGAAACTAACAAAACCAACACAAAGCTGGAGATTGGCTTTCACCACTGGTTTTGTCGTGTTGTGGAAAGCAAATACAGAGACTCGGCCTAATGTAAAATGTTGATACTAACATTTTTTTGTAGTGTTTTGTCCAATTATTTATTTATTACTCTTACTATTAAACCTCACATTTAAACTTTTTTTGGCACCAACACAAGGCCTCCACTCGTTTTGCCTGTCCTCCCCTTTGTATCATATTTACTTCTATGTATATGGGATTTTAACCACGTTGAATTTTAACCCCCCCCCCCCCCCCCCACTGTAGTCCTTTCTGCAGCCGGCTGTGTACAAGCCACCAAGCAGATGGTTTTAGCCAGAAATGTCCACTCTACTCTCTCCAGAACATGGAAACTAGTGCATTCATTACCTGAATGTCGACTGAGAGAGATGGATCTTTTTGCCTGGATTAATATAAATCCAACACTATTTGTAGAATGTATTCAATGGAAATGCATTTTTAGTTTTTCCTTCACATTCATCAATATAATACACCACAAGCTCAGGATTTGGAATTGGATAAGGTTTGGGATGAGAGTGGAAATTAAAACCAAATCTTTTTGTTAGATCTCCCATACATGTGATCAGTTGCAGAAACATGGCTGGTCCCTGTTCTCTTGGCAGTGAGTTTTGAATCTACTTTCATGAACCACATGACGTTACACTATGAATATGATGCTGAGCTCGTCATGTGCACGTTTTTGCATGTTTATTGAGCCAAGGGAAAAACACTACATTGATGCCTCATCACAAATGGACGATTATAGTGAGTTAAACCATGATATTGCAATAAGTTAATGCTACAGTTGTGAGTTAGAAATGGCAGAAAATCCTGGAGACCAGAGGATAGAGAATATTTACATTTCAAAGTAGTAGATGTTAGAGGGGAACACCGAAGAACTGGTGGGTGATTATTTCTGATCAGGGACAGGAGAGGAGTTCACGACCTCATTATCATTCATAATCTAAGAAGTGTGGCCAGAAAAAATAAATGTCAATTGTGTATTGTCCATCTTGTCCAGCCTTTCTTAGAACATTCTCATTTTGCGTGGCGTATAAAGCCCCTCTCGCACTTTTGAAGTCTCTCAAATGCACTGATTGATACTGTTTTTATCCAGCAACTGAATCTGCCCAGCATTCTTTGACTTTACCAAGCTGTAGAATTTGAGCCATTTTCCTTTTGTAATCTTAGTGCCTCCCCTTTGTTTTCACCATCCATCACCCATCACCACTGTTAGCTAGATACCAGTTTCTAGAGTGGCAAAAAGCTGCTGATGCTTTGAAAGTGATGCCAACCTGGCAAGAATGGGCCAACTTTTAATGACAAGCAAAAATTTGATCGATGACTAAATTTGTAGGGTTTCGATCATGAAGTGATCACAAAGACCAATATTGTTGTCAATGCTCATGTTGTTCTTTTGTCTATGTAGTGCTACTGACATCCCAGTTTTTTTTTTTCTCCCAATATGGCCACCAGTGTTAGCCCCTAGCCCTGACCACTCTAGAGTTCTGCTTGGTGTCTACACAAAAACCACGCCCAGTCTTGCTAGCTTGAGCCGTTAGCCACCTCCTACGCACTCATACGCCGCTTCACAAACGCCTAATGTACACCACGCTGCCTCGAGTCAATCGCACGGCTTTCATTGTTATTAGCTGCACTATCAACTCTCATTCAAACCACCAAGCCTCCCTTTCAGATGTTAGTGCTGCCCTGTTTAATATTTCTTTCTTTTTGAAATGGCTTAAATTCAGAAGTTTAATTCATTATAGAATTATGTTGTGTTTTCTGATGACAAGCAAATCTGTCCATGCAGCAATCTCACTTTTAAAACTACCTTAATACATAATCACACAGCCCAAATACAGATGGACAATGCTAACCTACTAGCTCAATGAAGCCCAATAGGGAAGTGTTCTTGGTGAAGTTCGGCTCCAACTCGCACTGGCTTCTATTGGCTCACATGTAAAATAAACTGCTTGCTTTATTTTACTTTTATTTTGCTGCTCGACATCACCATTTTGGGCTTAAATCCGTGGCTTTGCGCCCTCTCTAATCTTGGTGTTCATATTGTCTTTGTAAATCCAGATATTAGACATAAGGATTTGACCAATCAACTCCAGCTTGCCTTAGTAACTGGTTTTTTCCTTGATACGGCAAAAACACTGATGGAACAAATGGCCATATAAGAAATTTGGCTCCAGCTATCTTATGTTTAAATCTGGCTCTTCCTCATTAAGGTTCACACTATGGTGATGTCACACTCTAGTTATTGTAAATTGGTCAAGATTATAATTTAAATTCTAATACGTTTAAGATGTTTAAGTGCATTTACACTACTTTCTTTGTAAAACCTCAAAATAAGTGCAATCATATTCCTGGGTCAAACCTCAACAAAAAAAAAACGCTGAATTAAAGTCATTTTTGTCACCCAATTATCTTTATTTCCATGATTTATGTTGTCCTGCTCCTTCATGTAGACTTGCTGATCTGTGATTCCTGATCTGACGGTGAAAGCCACGTTTTTTGCTTTTTGGACGATGTCGAATGCTTTGTGTTTTGTACAGATCGATGAATAATGTACAATTGTGTCTAAGTTATCTTAATAAAGCACCAGTTGGAAACAAAGACATGTGTTCTATTCTTGGTTCTTATGGAGGTCAACAAAGCCCTATTCTGGTTAATTTTCCAAGCAGCATCTTTTTCCCATTCATATTTTGTCTCAACAGATAGTCTTGTGAAATGAACATTGTCTAATCATATCACAATATGCTGTTACCTCTGTGTAAGAAAGTGCCCCTTGGCTAGAGTTCCTCTTTTTCACGATTTTCTGAAAAAGCTTATGTAAAGATGTGACAAAGGCCAAAATTACATGTGAAAAGTAGTGATGGAATCAAAATGTTTTAAGAGAGCAAAGGTGAGGAGCTCGTCGTACAGCTGCCTTTCCCTTGGAGATAGAGAAGCTTGGAGTAGAGCCGCTGCTTCTCCATGTGGAGGGAAGCGAGTTTAGGTTGCTTGGGCATCTGATTATTGATTTGATAGGGACAAGTCCACACAATCAACATTTATAGCCAAGGCTAATTTGCAATGTCCATCCCTAGAATGGCTTTTAAGACTATTAAAAACACATTTTACTTTATTACATTTGCATTATACAAAAGTAGGTGCCCTCCAACTCATTAATGCTCACAAAACTGGTTCGTTTCAAAATATCGTTTCACTTTTTTTAAAACCAGCTCAGCCAGAGTTCTGTTTAAATTAAGGACTTAGAGTTCTAGAGCTTTGCCCCCTGGACGGAGAAGACTGACAGTCCGAATGGCCTGGGAATGCTTCAAGATTTCCCCGGATGAGCTGCAGGAAGTGTGTGTGGAGAGGGAGGCCTGGCTGTCAGTGCTGCCCCCACAACCCGGCAACGGATAGAGCAGAAGACTATTGATGGATGGATGAAGTACAATAATGACAGCAGAATTTTCCATCTAGACTTTTTCCTCATAATTTTATTTCTTTTGAAGCCTGAGACCGAGTTCAACATGAAGCTTCACGTTCACATGATGTGAAAGTTTAAATACAGTAAAAACATGAGAAGGTGATCGTCTCGTCTGCCATCACTGTGGACTTGAGAAATATAACAATGATTAAAATCAAAAGTTTATGAGACCACGTATCAGTTAAAGCTGATGCTCAAACATGCAGGAGTTTCATAAAAGCAAAAGAAATATAAAAACACTGTTTGCATTGAATACATAGAAAAGATTTCAGCGTAAACAAGAAATCTACTTTTTTTTTAATACAAACACAGTGAAACTACTGTATGATCGGGAGGAACAGTTGGGTATTCATAAAGTCTAGTCAAATTTTCCACATAACTAGTCATTTAGGTAATGAAGTTAAATAAGTCCAATACAATAACAATAAATTATGTTAATTTAAGTGGAAAATGTTTAAATGTTGAAACACAATATTCTAATGAGATGATAATTTTTCAAAAAAAATTAAAGATGATATTCACTGTAATTTCAGAGCGTCAGCAAGTTTGAAAACATTGTAATGTATCTGCTAATATAATCCATTGTTTCTGGTTTCAAAACTACATTTTTACTTTGTGTTTAGATTTCAGCTTACATTCAAAGGTCACATTTCTCTATATTACATTTTGGTAAATAATCTTTTCCACTTTGATTAGATGACATGGAAATTGTTATTTAACTTTAATTAATTCTAATTTAATACAAAATTATCTTTGAAACAAACCAATTTAGGAAAAATCAAAAACAAAAACCATTAAAGGAACTATACCTGATTTATTTCCTAATGAGTTCATAAAAATGCGTATTACTACATTGTTTTAAAATCCGGAATTTAATTGAAAACGTCAGCTCATTGATTCAGCTTGTGTATGAAGTCAGGCCATGAAAAGTGCTGAGTAGAAACTTAGCGTGACGCTAGTTCGCATCATGGCAGCAGAAAGTGGCTATTAAGACCACTGGCTGTAACACAGCCCAAAAAGACTGAAAAGTGAGGAGGAGAATAGGGAACTAGAGTTGAACAGCTTGCTAATGCTAACGTTTGCGTATGTATGAGATCGCTACTAAAACTAGATGGAGAGCGTAGGGGAGAGGAGAGATTTGGAGGGTTTCTCCGAATGAGAAGCCTGTGAGTGAGGGGCGGTACAAAAAATTTAAAGGATAACTCACCCTCAAATCCACTTTTTTTTGCTGATAAACGATATAAACGAGTGTCCAATAGTGTTGTCTACATATCCTGGTCATAATTTTGTCACTTTGGTGCAAATTAGTTGAAAGTTAAACTTTCTGCCTAAAACCGTCTGTGAGGCACCATCTGCTGGCGACCTGTATTACTACATTTGAATTTTGAATCTGGCGCCAACACTGGCGCGGCAGCAAGACCTGACGTCTGAAGCAAGACCTGACGTCAGCAGCCCCCCGCCCAGAGCTATATAAACGGCCCAGTCTCGTTCACGCCCCCTTTAGTCCTCCAGGCCTACGCCCATTTAGAGGAAGATTTGAACAGAAATGTGAGTGACGTAAGCTCCGAGGAGCAGGGATGAGAACCACTTTAAAATGAAAAAAAACCTGGCAAAAACTAGTATAGCTCCTTTAAAGCAGTGTTGAAAGTAGCAGCAATAGATTTTATAAAATGTATTGTTCTGTAATTCCTCCTGTATCCTATGCTAGGATAATATGTTTAATATTCTGAAAAAGACACTTTTTACGATTCTAAAAGTCTGAAAATACTTGGTTAAAAATATAATTGATGCAAAATCACAGTAAATAATATGGAAAACTGGAAATCATTTTTCATTCAATTGTTTGAATAATTATATATTTTTATGAATATAAATTTGACACCGGATCATGTCAGACCACCATGACATGTCCCTTTGAACATTTGAGATTAAGTTAAATTATGCAAAAAACAAACTCTCAAAATCACAAACTGCAGAGGGGTAAAAGGTGAGTGATAAAGCTGAATATGAGATACAATTAGTCTGATCCAGGGTTTGTGTGTGTGTGCGCGTATTTGCGGTTCTGGTTGTGTTTATAAACCAGTCTCTGGTTCTCGGCTGCTGCTTCTGCTGCAAAAATGTACAATATCGGCATGAAATTACTAAAAGCGCAAAAACACAAAGCTGAAACATCATTCATGACAAAAACGTTGACTCTTTCTACTTTTGAATACATAAAAAAATACAGCAGTAAAGCTTGGGTACCTGACTTTCTTCAGTAAAATGTTGTGAACAAATCAGACACAACATTCTGTCTTCATCTTATTGGAAAACACATCTTTTTTCTAAGAAATAGTCATAATTTGTCTCTTTAAGCTGAGAGCTGATTGGCTGAGTGAGGATGGTCCTCTCATTATCACTTTTGTGTCTGAAAAAGTTGATCACTCCGGTCTATCTCTCGGGTCTCTCTCTGGTTTGGAAATCTAGCAAACTGTTTCAGAGCCAGAAGTTCACTAGAGACAGATTTTATTACAAAGTTAAGAGCTCCAAAGTTAGGTACCTGAGCCTAAAATGTCAAAAGCACAGTTCATTCCCATGGTCATATTTTACAGTTAAAAAGCAGATGAATAATTGAATAATACACAGACATATTTGATTTGACTTTCCACTACATTCATGTTCCTGTATTGTGTCTATATGTCCAATAATAAAGAGTTGTCCCATTGTCTTTGAACCCTGAAAAATCCTATTCGTCTTCATTGTTCCCCTGAGCTCTTTCTACTCCTTCTGCTCCTTCTGGGATAAGTTCTCTCACTTTTCCATGGCACAGTTTGAGTCTGCCCTTGTGCTACAGTGAATCCTGGTTTGGTTATGTACATTGCATTAGCCTGAGGAGAGTCCGAGCATGCTTTGCCCGGACCACATACCCGAGCTCACTGTCTCTGCAGTACGCTGAAGCAGGTAGGTGGTGTGTGTCTGGTGGGGATGGACTCCCAGTATCTTGCTGAAGGGTCTGAAATACACCAACCCGATGTTTGGGCATCTGGAGGAGTTGGAGAGAGTTGGATGTGTGCCCTTTATTTCTATTATTATAGGAAACTTATAATTATATAATATTATATAACTTATAATTTATATCAGTTTGGTATTGGTCTTATGATTGGTCTGTGTCAACTGTGTGTACAGCCTCATTCCTGGATCTACAGCCTGGGTCTAGAATCTCGAAATCAGGAAGGTCTATGGACCACGAGGGTCAAGGGCATTTCTGCCCATGAATTAATATTTCTGGGCAGTGGTCATCCCACTGCCTATGGACCAATGGCTTCTATGTGTTGTTATTATTGCATTTCCTGTGTTTGAACTGTTTGATTCTCTGATCTGTTGTTGGTGAATCCACAACTTTGTAAAGTACTCCATACAACTGCTGTTGTGACTCAGGGCGATACACAAATACATTGGACTGAAATGCAAATGCAATCTTTTCAGCCGAGCTGGGCCAACCATAGCCAACAGAGTTGTTGATGTAGGCTTGAGTCAGGTTGGTGTATCTTGGCCTTAAGAGCAGGTAGGAGGCAGGATTTCCTGCTGGGGTGTTTTAGAGCAGGGAGGAGGTGGGACTGCCCTGGGAGTAGTGTACTGGACTGGATCTCACTGGGAGAACGTCATAGTGGCTCAAGATGTGGCTACTCCTCGGTAGGTCGTACAGGTTCTGGGGGTATGAGGAGGCTGCCTGGATAACACTGATGGTTGGTTCTGAAAGAGAACAGTCATGAACGTTTAGGCAGGTCAGGAGCAGGTGAAGACTCTACTCTACCTGGTTGTGTTTCCATTAAGCTTTAGTTTATGGTACCGTATCCCAGAAACCTACCTGCAACAATTCAGTATCCAGGGAAATTCCTTGGTAGCAATCTGGCCAATAACTTTCAGTTAGAACACTTTAGTACCAGCTCGGCCTGGATAGAACCAGGGCCAAGATAGACTAAAGATTGATTTGGTTCCCTCAGCTGGCGCCTAGCTGCTGATTTATAACTGGTGCGGACCAGTGAAATCCCACTGTTCAAATAAAACAAATCCTGAGCCAACAAACAGGGCCAGTGGAAACACTCCCAATCAGAGTAGAGTAGAGTAATGTAACATAGAGCAGAGTAGAGCTAGTGGAAACAGCTTCTTATCGTACCCCATAGTTCCCTATACGTACCCATATCGTAGACATTTTTGGTGGGGTATATATCCGATGTGGTGGTGATGGTGGACACGGTGCAGCAGGGCCCCCTGTTTGCCGGGTGAGTTACACGCCCATACCCCTGCTGCACCTGGTGTGCGGGTGACTTCATCTCCACGTAGCTGCTCTCAGAATGTCTACAGACGGCGCCAGACGACTCACTGATGGTGGCGTACGGGTTCTCACTGTTCAGTGAGCAGGTACTGGAGAGAGAGCCCTTTATGTAGTCTGCTGGAGGAGGAGGAGGTGGGAGAGGAGAGAAAAGGGAGAGGAGGAACAGGAGGGAAAGGAAGAGAGGAGGAGGGAGAGGGGGAAAAGGAGGGACAGGAGGAAGAGTATGAAACTACAGCAGCAGAATGTGACCAAATCCTACAGTCCATATTTCAGAGATTCTGAATTGTTCACTTTTATTTAAGCCATTTATTATCAAGCAAGTGTTTTGTATTTTCAAATTATAACATCTTTGAGGAAGAATGTGCTTTTTGTGCAAGGTGGCCCAGGAATGTACAGGAACTGAGCGAGAGACCAGAGAAGGGAGACTAAAGAGAGACCAGAGAGACAAGATGCCGAAGAAAGACAAGAAACCGAACAAGACCAGAGAAACAGTTCAGAGAGAGAGACAAGAGAACAAAGCAAGACCAGAGAGAGAGACGAGTGCAAGCCAGAGAGTGACAGCTACATTGATTGAAATATTAGTCGTGTTTGCAAAGTGCTGTTGTGGATGGTCACAGGAGCAGAGTGCCCCAACGCAGCTCTGGCTTCAACAACAGGTTATGTAGCAACCGTAGTGTGAGAGTTTGAGCCGTTAGTCAAAATCAATACAAGCATACAGTGCCTTGCAAAAGTATTCACCCCCCATTGGCTACCTATTTTGTTACATTACAGCCTTTAGTTCAATGTTTTTTTTTAAATCTGAATTTCATGTGATGGATCAGAAAACAAAAGTTGGTGAAGTGAATTGAGAAAAATATATACATAAAACTATTTTTCAGAAATAAAAAACTGGAAATTGGCATGTGCATATGTATTCACCCCCTTTGTTATGAAGCCCATAAAAAGCTCTGGTGTAACCAATTACCTTCAGAAGTCACATAAATAGTGAAACGATGTCCACTTGTGTGCAATCTAAGTGTCACATGATCTGTCAGTACATATACACACCTTTTTCGAAAGGCGTCAGAGGCTGCAACACCTAAGCAAGAGGCACCACTAACCAAACACTGCCATGAAGACCAAGGAACTCTCCAAACAAGTAAGGGACGGTGTTGTTGAGAAGTACAAGTCAGGGTTTGGTTTAAAAAAAAAAAATCCAAATCTTTGATGATCCCCAGGAGCACCAACAAATGTATTGTGGCATGGTTGTATATGTACACCTTTAAATGTGCGCCGTGGGCGGCACCAACACAGTCTTTAAAAGGCGCGTGCATGTGGTGCGCGTGCACAGACCACACACACCTGTCCCAAGTGGGCATTGGAGTGACGTGCACGTGTTGCTGCTCCTGGTTTGGAAACTTTGTCTACCAAGCCACGCACTTTAAAGCCTCTTTCATCCAGGTCAGTCATTGTATTTTAGTTATCTTTGTCGGGCAGGTTTAACGTTGCATGTGTTGCATAGGGCTTACACATAGCTGCTCAGCCAGCTCTCCCACCCTTCCATGCTGGGAGTACGCGCACTGGGTGCGCGGTGAGGGTACGGGGCTCTCACTAGGTAAGTACGCTCATTGTCCAGCTTTTAGTTTGGTCAGCTGACCATAGCGTACCTCTAAATTCATCCCAGACCCAAAGCTGTTGTGGGACAACGCCGCCTATCACTGTGGCCCTCCCCCTCCTCCTGCTGCTCCCGTGCGCACTGTTGCCGGCCGGTAAGACACAAACATGACCAAATATGCAAATTAAATGTAGTTTTTAACAAAATACTGTTTTTTTTAAAGAGGCTATATGGAAGTTTCACCACTTATAAAACTATACAGAATTAAAATGTCTTCCACATACATTCTCCAGCAATACGTTGGTGTGTAGAATGAGCCCTGGCATTTTCACTGCAATTGCCTCTATATGCCTAAAAACATGTCTTTATATGCTTGGAATTTGAGGATTCGGGTCGAAACATCCAGGGGCAGCGTAATGCGTAATGACGTCATGCGCGTTCACGCTAAGCTGTAGCCGCATTAGCTGTAGCCGCGCTAGCTGTAGCAGCCATTAGTGAAGCTGCAGAGCGAGAGGTGACTGTGGGAGGATGGATACAGCGAAGAACAACAAGAGACCGGCTTCAAGCAGCGCCGAAACTCCAGCAAAGACCCAAACTAAAGCAAAGAAACATAGAATTATTTCTAGTGCGACCAAAAGGGCGGAACTCGAGTCTGACCGCAGTAGGCAACAAACGAGTGTAAACCATGGGGTAAACATTGGAGTTGTTTTTGAGAGGTGGAAAACTCTGACAGAATCTCTGGGCATGAGAAAAGACCCACAGTTGGCATCATTTCTGCTTGAAAGGTAAGACGACATCTCTAAACACATGTGTTTATGCTTTCAAAGCAGCGGTGTCCGTGCATCGCAAGCTACTTAGAGAAATACTATTTTTGTCTTCAACTAAGTTTTTATTTGTGGAAAGTGCTCAGAGCGAGACAATGATGGGTCCTTCTCAAAATACTATCTGTAATACACAGTTCTAGCAAGATCTCTGCGTGAAACTACCACACTAGCTAGCATTAGCTGGCAAGGCTAAGTTTGTTTTTTTTGAACTAAACCACCCACAGCTTCAGCAAAGCTCTCGTTGTTTAGCTAAGAATGAGAGGGTTACGAACATGTTCCCGTTTAAATGTATGCACATTGCAATCGCAATAGTAACTAGTTAGATGTAGAGCGTGTTGACTTTTCTAAACATGTGCTGTGTTATTGTAATTGCCTCATTGCAATACTTGATATTGCCATCGTTAGCAGTAACAGTGGCTCTATTGTTCTAGTTTCGAGAAGCACACTATCAAAGGGATCACTCACGTCCACACCCCATGGCCCATCAGCTAAGGTGTTGCTGGGGCCCCATCCCCCCAGAATCTGATTGGTAAGTTTGCCAAATGCAACTTCTGTTTTCAGGTTACCACTCATCCACCGTCAACAAAAGTCTTTTGTCCTACAGGGAAGACTTATCACATATCACAGGAGTTGAACCTCTGACAGCAAATAGGTTACAATCGTTGGAGAAAAGGTAAACATGCATGAATTTTATCATTTGATATGAAGAAGATGACATAGTCTGGGATCGCGTCTTTAATTCAGACAGAAGACATGTTTTATTGTCGATGGTAGAGACAGCACGAACAAAGCACACGATCACAGATACAAGAGAATGCAAGTGTATTATACAGAGCGGAGGCATGGAGACCTCCAATCAGCAGCTTTCACGGTGTGCTTGTAGCTTGGCCTTCAGATAGACAAAACAAGGGAAAAGTACTGGCTTCTGCACATTGATAGAATGATGAGTTTAACCTTAACAAAAGTTGCTTAAAAGTGTTATGAAATCTCACAGATAAATACTGTTTTTTTGTAAGGAATGTAAAATGTCTTTTATTGTGAAGCAGCAAATCAATTGAGCTGAATGATGACGCTTTAGATGAGGAGCAAGCCAATAATCTTGAAAACAGTGTGTAAGTTGTACGTTATTCTCTATGTAATTCAATGTGTATATGTTGGTACATAATTTACATATTGGACTGTTCTTTTTTTAATTCTGTTAGTATTAGATAGCAATATGGCCTACGTGCAGGACTGTACAAGGACTCTACAAGGACTCCATGTTATGACTATGATTTGACTGTCTCTTTGTGACACGTATGTCTTTCGATGTGTGACGTGACAATGACTATATAAACTGTGTACTGCCTTTATTCTGTCTGAGAGAAGGAAACAATGGAAACCAGTGGAACTTGAGAGAAACTTAAACTTCCAGAGTTTGGCGCACCACGATCCGTCTCTGTCTGCTTCATCCCTGACAGATTTGGTGGAGGATGTGCTGCTCAGTGTGTGCCATTCTCTGGATTGTTTTTAGGGAGTTTTCTTTGTTTCTTTTTCTCGGCGTGGGAGAGCTGAGAGTGTCTGGGGCCTGGAAGCGGTCCAGCAGGCTGGAGAGGCGACCGGCTCCGGGACTCTTTTTCGCTCTCTCACTATATTTTTTTGTGTCCTGTTTTTTGGACTGAGCGTTTAAAATTGTTTTCCCATGTCCACATTCCGGGGATTTTTGACGTGCGATTGGTCTCTGCCGATGGAAACTAGTTCCCGGTACTAGTGAGAGCTGGTTCATGATCTGGAGACCTGGTTGGACGTGGAAAAGCTGGTATTTGGTGGACCTCTCGGACAGTCCTTGGATCCTGTTTGACAAGAATAAGGTAAGCAGACACCTTTTTATATGTAAAGTCTTGTGAGATTTCATAACACTTTTAAGCAACTTTTGTTAAGGTTAAACTCATCATTCTATCAATGTGCAGAAGCCAGTACTTTTCCCTTGTTTTGTCTATCTGAAGGCCAAGCTACAAGCACACCGTGGAAGCTGCTGATTGGAGGTCTCCATGCCTCCGCTCTGTATAATACACTTGCATTCTGTTGTATCTGTTGATCGTGTGCTTTGTTCGTGCTGTCTCTACCATCGACAATAAAACATGTCTTCTGTCTGAATTTAAGACGCGATCCCAGACTTCGCTCATCTTCTTCAGGTGGTGGAAGGATGCGGGCATTGTCTGTAACATCTAGTGAACAGAAGACTTTTTTTTTTTTAACACAAAATGTTTTTTTTTTTTTTTTCAAGCCAAAACTGAAAAACCTCAAGAGAATGCATCTGGATCAGCACATGGACAATCTGCACAGCCCCTGATTCCAGTCAGGCTGTGAGCTGCTGAGACATGGACAAGACCATCGTCCTCTTTTGCATAGACACCATTTGGAACCATTGGATTACACAATTTGGACATCATTTGGAACAATCTGGATTTCTGAATTTGGACATAATTTGGACTGAATTGAATTGCTGAATCTGGACACTAAAGCTGAAACGTGTGATTTGAAAGACCCGTCACAGAAGAATTCATGGCTCGACACAAATGCAGCCTGAAGAATCAACAC